GGGCTGCAACCCACAAGATTGTCCTTTTGAAACCAGCAGCTGCTCTGCAGGAGAAAGACAGGGGTTTCTACTCCCGAAAACAGTTACAGTCGTGGAAACTCACCGAGGCAGTTCTAGCCTGACCTATAGGGTTGTTATGATTCCACCTGTACTCAATGGCAGTAAATTTGAGTAGGAAGCAGGGTTGTTTATTAGCCTTGGTAATATACTTCTTAGATTCTTTTAAGCACAGTGTTAATTCTTCAAATTAAAAAGTGATAAATATTGATAATGTGGATGCTATAGCAAAGTATGGTGAAGATATCAGAAAAAAAATAGTGTCTAGGGTCTTAAAGACTTCTCTTAAACCAAGCAGCCATCTAAGTTAGGTATCAGCTAAGTCCACATGGAAGAAGCACACTTGTGTGAGTCAAAGATTGTAAATAATAAAATCCAAGACAGGAAGAGGGAATGGCATTGGGATTTAAATTCTAAGCACTAGGTTTGCAGAAGGCTATGGTTAACATTGGAAGTTAAAAGTCCTTTTGCAGGGTTCCCTCATGGGTGTAGCTTCCAGACATTCCCCTCTTACTATCCACCAGGGATGTGAATAGCCTTGCTGTCAGACAGTGTGCATTGGAAAGTAGAACAATGTGTGGTTAAAATGCAGCACCTTATCATTTGTTCTCCTTTTAGATTAATTTTAAATTTGTTCTGATTTTTAATATTTTTCTTCTCTGCTTTCTTTTTCATTGAGGTTTTTCTATATTTTATTTTGTTATTGTTGTTTTTAAATATTTTTTCTTTATATGGAATCCAGGCTAGGTAAATCTAGAGAGAGATTAACTGGATTAATAGTTTCTTCGGGTTATGGCTGGGGAGGTTTTTATTAAATGGAGACCGAGTGATAATGTGTATAATAATGAAACAACGTGCTCTAAAATAGATTGTGATGGTGATTATACACCTTTAATTAATGTATTTAAATCATTGAATTATATGGTATTTAAATTATTGAATTATATGGTATGTGGGTTATATGTCAATAAAACTGTTAGGATTTTTTTAAGTCTATAGACCTAGATGGAGACTATGTCAAGAACAATTGCTTTACATTTTGATATTTTTGTTAAGGTTTATTTGATTTTGTAAAATTAATAAATTAATAAAAGTGATCAAGCTAATACATACTACAAGCCAAGAACATACAATAGATACCATTGCTCTACCACTGTATCAATAATTTTTAACTAGCCTTTTAATTTTAACCATTTCATGGTAGTAGATAATTGTGATTTTAATGTTCATTTTTATGCTGACTAATGAGACTGATCACTAGCAAGCACAAAACCTTTGTAGCGTGTTGCAAAGCAAAGATATCCTTTTAGGATAAGTGATGCCTGACCCAAACCCTGCTCTTTTCAACTGCCTCATCTACATATGACAGTTGGACATTGAATAAGGAAGACCGATTATAATGCTGGCAAAGAATATTGAAAGTCCCATGGACTGCCAAAAGAAGAAACGGATCTAACTTCATCTCCTGGACTCTGGATACGTTCTCAGAAGAAACCAGTCTCTGACAAAGGACAGCATGCTTAGTGAACCAGAAGAGCAGCACAAAAGAAGGTATTCCCTGAGATGGAGCAATGCGGTGCTGCGAACAATGAGTA